AATTCCTCACTGTCTACAAGATTTGCAAACCAGCACCCCAATGGCCGAATCGGGCAACTCAGGCAACCCAGATTACACAGGTGCAGTGAACATAGTATTTTCAAATCATTCTTCAGTGTATGTTATTGTGAGTTTCTCTATCAGACCAGTTATTGACTAAGTCGTTTTACTCCGGAGTGACTATTTGCACCAACACTTCACCTATAGACAGTGTAGAACACTGGAAAGCTCTAGTTAGCGAGTGAATTATATAGTCTTAGCACATCTATTATGAAAAACTGAGAGGCAAAATACCTTTTACTTTTGTACACATCTGGTCTATCTGATCAAAGGATCATTTCAAATAGAAACTGTGAAATAGAAATTGCCAGACTTTTTTTTAATCACTATATCCAAACTAAGCAATGAAAAAACACACATTACATTAAGTGGTCTTCCCTGACACCGTTTATAAAATAAACACATTTCAGGAATCAACTGTTTAATTAACATGTACAATACACAATTACCATACACCGCGCCCTCCAGTGACAGGACGTCGAAATCGACCACTGTGTTTGGTGGTGTTGTCGTTCCTCACTCGGAATAAAGTGAAATCTCTCAAAACAAAAACTTCATTGATGTACTACAGATCAAAACGATATCGACGCTTCGAATGGCTGTAGTATCACCCATTTACGTCATTGAAGGGCTTCGTCACTAGAGAGCGCAATTTATAGAAAAAGTATACAAACCCAATACAGTTATACATTACAAAACGAAATCGGGATTATTAGGCAATTTGAACTTTTCTTTCGAAACTGAAAAAAGAAGCAAAACAGTATTTTTATGGCAATAAATGTCTTGAAAATGGGAACAATTTAAAATGAACAACGAGTTTATTGTAATTGCATAAAAAAATACTAATATGTACTGTAATATTCTCAATATCCCTTTTAGAATGATAAAACATGAATTGTGAATAAAATTGGCCTATGCATGTCCAAGAAATGCTTTATGGGGTGTTGATTTTAATCAAATCACAAGACCAACTACCATGCATGACCCGTCATATTTAATGTTCATACCAAGTTTCCATAAAATTAATCATCATCCTCAGAAAATGTTTGATGACATGAAATTTTGTGATTTCAGTTTGTTAACGAAACAAAAATACAAATCAATGTGCATAAGAATGTACAAATCGGTCAAGCCATGTTCGAGAAAATAAGTTCCAGAACTACGAAGCCTCAGAAAATTTGTTATACACTTTAGTATTTAGAAATCTGATCCATGTTCACAGATTTTATTCCCATAACAAGGAAATATTCAAGAAAATGAAGCCCATTTGGGCAGTATATAATGTAAACATTTCCTATGTGAGCCTCCCCCTCCCCACTGCTAGCAATATGATGCTAGTCGACTGTAACTGTGATAAACGGTGAGTGCTTTGTTCTTTTCACCCTATTTTTCTTTGTTCATTTTCAGTGTCCAGATGGCATGAATCCATAATATGAAAATATGACGAAAATGACATATTTTCAATTCACTTGAACTTTCTTACAATTAGCTGATTATTATGCAAATTAAATGATTGATATGTACAAATTTCTCAGAAAGGGTAAAAATCAATACAGGCAT